TTCCATTTCTTTATGTCATCATCGATTTCTGAAAGTGGATTTTTTTAAAAGCTAAAATGGTCTGATGCCAATTGTTCTGTTTCCTACATAATACCTGTTTACATTTTAATTTTTTGCAGGTAGTGTTTCAAATGTTTTAATTACATCAGTAAGTATCTCTGCATTACTACACCAAAAATCAGAAAGTTTAGTCTCTTTGGCAGGACTTGTATGTTTGTATCACATCTGCATCCTAAGACAACTTTTATCTTAGCACACAGGACCAGGAGTCAGAAGACAAGGGACCTTAGATCATTTCTAATTATTGTTCTGTTCAAGAATCACTTGACCTCTCTAAGCTTCAATTCCCTCATCTAAAAATGGGTTGTACACATGGACAAAGAGAAGAGATTAGTGGTTACCAGAGGGGAAGGGAGTTGAGGGGTGGGGATAAGGGGTGAAGGGGCACAATTATATGGTGACTGACAAATGATAATGTACAACTGAAATTTCACAATGTTGTAAACTATTATAACCTGAATATAAAAATAAAATAAAAATGGGGTTAGTAGACACTGGCCTACTCTGAGTTTGAGGGTTAAATGGAACTACTTGTGAAAATGTCTGTACATGATAAATACCATAGATATAAGGTAGCATTAGAACTACTTTTCTAAAATATTACTAAGTTTTAAAATTTAAAACTATGTTAATTCTGCTTATATTATATATTCAGAATATATCTTTTGATTGTGCATACATGTAATTTTTCAATGGTCTCTTTATATCTTTTTTTATGGTTTCTCTTTTTATAATTATCTTTTTTTATTGAGATATAATTGACAAATCACATATTGTTTCAGGTGTACTCTTTACATCTTGTTGTACCCATCTTTAAGCAGTTTTCTTTACAGGTACAAAATAGGTGTGTTCCTAAAAGGCTGTAAAGTTAATTTTTCAAGAGCTGCACTGAAATTATTAGAATACTTTCTCTAAAGGAAGGCTAATTATTTTAGAAAATGTAGAATATGTTATTTTAGAAATATTGATTCTTCTCTATTTGGTGGGCTTAAAGAGGATATATTTTAATATATTAATAATTAAATTATAATAATTTATATTATATTTAGTTATAATAATTTCATTATAATAATATATAATAATTAATATATTACCTTCACGGCACTTTTTTACTTTTGCAAACTGCTTTGTCATGTTTTATCATTTCATTAAGGGAGGTGCTACTTATACATATCTACATATAATTATGTAAGAAAATATCTTTGTCTCAACAATGCGTTTTATTATATTTTGAGTTTCCATAGGTCATGATATGAAAAGACCTGATTGATCTTAGAAATATATACAATACTATTTTATCTTTACTTTTCTTATTCTCTATTTATTTTACATTTTTTTGTGATAATCAGAAAGCTTAATTTACTATAAAATAGGAAAACAACAGCTATCTTAGATTACAGGGTTATTTTAAGGATTTAATGAGTTAGTGGAATACGAGGGTCCCTGGTACATTGCAGGCAACCCAAGAAATGATCATTTCCTTCACACACATACATTTGTTTGTTCATTCACTTCTCCTGTGTTCTTTCTGTCTCACACACAGAATAGACAACTATTTTTGTTTACAGAGACAAATAGAAGTTAAATATCTAATCCTAAATAACCCAATCAATTGGGAAAGGCTACACTACAAACCAGGCTGTGTTAGCATGACAAGTAACACTAAATGTCTTACGTTCTGATGGTACCAGTTGCCGCCGAGCTGCTTCCCCTACCAGTTCCTTAAGTTTCTTCTTAAGGTCTCTGCTGGTTTTCTTATAAAAATAAAGATCTTTTTCTAGCTGCTGTATTTTATCTTCATATGTTTTTAAAGTTTCCGTAATGCCTTCCCCATCTTGCTCTATAAAACAGAAATTTACCTTTAAAATTAGCTTAATATAAATGAAAATAATGTTCAAACGTAGCCCCCAGACTAAGTTTAAAGGGTCAAGAGTATGTTACACACACCTGTTATCTGAATGGAGTTGTTTTCAGTTACAATTTGGATTCTTCTGCCTTTAAAATTTTTCAAAGTACGATGGAGCCCTTAGTCACCTTGTGTACCCTACCCTGTACCAAACACATTTTCATGATTCATAAGCACTTTCTGAGTAGCTACTAACTAGATTTATCCTTAGAACAGCAGAAAGGTGTTTTCTATAAAAAGCTCACAGAGCTGGGAACTCTTATCTTATTTAAAGTTTATATCAGGAACTGTGGATATATGGAAAGTCATAAGCCTAAGGTTTATAGGCCCAAGAAATATACAGCTAAAAAACCTCCACGAAAACCAAAAACTCCTCAAAACAGGCTAGAAAGATTAAATTACAAAGGAAAACATCACAAAAAAAGAAGAGGGGAAATAGCATAAAGTTCTAGTTTATGCTACAATATAACTTAAAGCTTCTAATTAATATTTATGAATGTCTAAAACTGTCCTCATTAGGTGAGGTTCTAGAATCAGTAAACCCTAGTTTACTGGCCTTCAGAAAATACATAGTTTCAGACCTACTCTTTCCTATTGGTAAATTAATAAAATGGTCCTACTGGTTTGTAATCTTGTTATAATTAGCTGTTTTGTAAACTTTGACCTAAGAATATTTGTATATTTTAAATTAACTCATCATCTTGTTTATTTTTATTTTTATTTTTTTTTAAGATTTTATTTATTCATTTTTTCCCCCCCAAAGCACCAGTTGTATGTTGTATGTCATAGGTTCGCCTCCTTCTAGTTGCTATACGTGGGACTCGGCCTCGGGTTGGACGGAGAAGTGGTGCCTTGGGGCGCGCCCGGGATCCGA